CTATTCTAACTTTTTTGATATGCTTGTACTTAAATATGTTTCTTTTGTATTTATTTAGGAATGTTTTTCCACATCCAGCAAGCATAGCCTACAATGTTTGTTTATGCAAATTATCAAAATTATTTATTATTTCATATTTCTAATATATTATTAAAGTATATATATATATATATAATTTTTATATTTTTAAAATAATATATATATATATATATATATATATACTTATATATACAAATACTACCAAAAATAATATCCAACTTACTTTAAATTTCTTCAAGTATAGAATAATATTAGTAGCAAGGATAGATGGTTTTTATATAAATACTTGTTAGAACTTATATTTGTATAAGTATATGATTAAATTATAAAAAGAAAATATTGCTTTATTTTATATTGTTACATATCAAGGACATGAATCTCTATAAAATGCTAAAGAGATAATACACTCTAGTATTATTAAAAGAGAAAAAAAGAGACAAATCAAAGATAAATACAAGTTAGAAATTAGAATAAATATTTTTAAATACCTAAAGATCATATAATCTTTAAATAATATTAAAATATAAAAAATATATTAATGAGATTGAAGAAGGCTTCACTCTTATTTTTAAAGACATGACTTGTGACAAAATTGTGAAGAGATAATATACTCTTGTATTACAAAAAGAAAAAAAAGTAGATAAAGAAGAGTGAAGAAGATCTCATTCTTGCCTCTATATATACCATCTACTAAAGTCCTATGTGACAATGTCATATAGGCCATATGACACATATCTATCTTATGGAACATGTGTCTAACTTGTAAAACAAGTTTATGATATGAACATGACATGACCAACTAAGAATATAAGTAGCTAATATATGCAACATGAAGTCAACCTCTATGTTAATTTTTAACCTATTAATCACTTACAAACACTTGAAAATTCTACAAAGCTTCTAAGAAGCTTTTTAACAAAATATTTATTAATTTAATTTATTTTTATTTATTTCTATCTAATTCTACTTATTCTTAATTTTACAACTAAATATAATAATAAAGATAGAGTTTTATGACATGATTTGCTCCTTCAAGCAACAAGTTTCATAAAGAATTGTGTAATTGCTTCATAAGTTGATAAAGTCCAATATTCTTTAAATGATATTAAAAACAAATTCTAATCTTTGTTCCACATAAAGGTATTTCACAGGTCTCTTTCAACTATTAATAATGTTCCATATTAGAGCAAAAAGACCATCTAATTATTTGATTATTATTAAGGTCTTTATATTTATTTTTGACCATATGTTTTATATTCTATCAAGTATAGTATCTTCATCTAATAATATCACTAAGAATTAGAAATTTCTTCCAAAATAGTGGTACCAAATACATTATATCTTACTATCTTTTTAAAAAAGAATATACCTTTCTTAAAGATCTTTATCACAATTATAACATTGTTTAGATTGAAACAATTTAAGTTCTTTGTGTAATAATTTTACAAATGACAACTATTGAAATGATTTTTTATTTTATTTTTTATATTCCATATTTATAAAGAAGTTATGTATGTTTATTCTCAAACTTTTTTTTATTTTTTTTTATTATTTTTTTTATTAATATGATCTTATTGTCAAAACTTAGTCTTTGCTTTTGATAGATGTTCTTAATGCAAAGACAAGTTCTAACACATTTATTAGATTTTCATATCGCTTTCATGAGCATTCACTAATATCACATATATGCTAATGTATAAGCTATTTGAATTTATTTTGACACCTTGTTGAATTTATGACTTCTTCAATTTCAAAGTCTTAGTTGTTATCTATTTCTATATGAGGTCATTGTAACAACTTTCTTCTTTGGATGTTGGTTGTAAACCATATCTTAGTGATAAGAATTTAAAAAAAAACATTAAGACAAAGTATAAATTAGTATATAATTCTTGAAACAATCTTGCTACTATTAATTGCCACGTTTTTATTAAAAAGATGTATTTTAATATCCTAAGGCTCTACAATGTCAAACTCTTTATATTTCAACATTCTAGATGTAACTTTCCATGTTGATATATATATATATATATATATTTGCACTTGTCCCTACAACCTTTGCCTTTGGTACAACCTCATGTACTTATACTATTGAAGTTTTTCTTGTAAATACCTCTTCTTTTGCACAAACATTTGAAGGTTTCTAATGAGATTAAAGTTTTGTACAATTTCCAGAAGTAACTTATTTTTCCTTCTTTAATCCATTTGTATGATTACCATCTTTTTTCTTTGAAAAATCTAATAAAATTACTAGCTTAATGGATTTGGATAGTGAAGTACATGACTTCATGGACTTTTTTACTTGAGAGACAGACTTTTTCTTGAAGGATATGCAATAATTTTCTTAGCACAAGCATGTTCTTTATTTTTATTTTTATTACTTTTTAATTTTTTTAATCTTTTAAATACACAATAAACACCAATTTCTAATCTATAGTGTAGTGATCTTTGAAAATCAGCCAAGAAAACCATCAAGACAAAGTACAAATTTTATTTTGATGGCTTTGTCTGTGGAGGCCCATGCAAGGAGTCTTGGCCCTTGACTCTTCCCATTGGCTAGTCAGTGGGACTATCAAAAGGAGGACTATCACCCCACCAAACCTCTCCACAATTGTATTATGTAGCAGGGTCCATATAACAACATCCTACTAATTAAAAGCCTCTAATTTTGTTGGATATAAATATAATAATATGAGGTGTGCATGTAAAAATTTAAGGTGTATTTGTAGCCTAAGTCTATAAAAATTATTAAAGTTGTAAAGCATTTTTTTAGTGGCTTTTAAAAGTTGTCATACTATCCAACAATGCTATAAATTTAATTTACATCATTAAAGTTTTTATAAAATTATGCAAAGTATATATCATAGGTATAATATTTTTTTCATATAGTGCAAGCTTAAAATATTGCATCTATATATTATATGTATAAGATTTATAAAATATAACTATAATATTTATGTATACAAAAAGTATTATAATTCTACTTAATAATCTATGATAATATTGGTGAAAATTAACTTGTTATAGTTATTAAAGCCACATTTCTATTGTATTAATGCAACAACTCCCTTGCAATTTTATGATTAATTTTCCATCCTCATTCTATATCCATGCTCCTTGCCCTTCATTACCAGTACAAATGTTTAAAAAATTCTAATTGTCACTAGCTTGGAAGAAACTTTAAGTGATTCAATGATTATAGCGGTGAAACTTGGATACTCATTGTTGCACATAAAGGTACCATTATTAGGATTTCTCTCAACCACCACCTTTCTAGGAGCTATATATATCATATTCAAACCTTCAAGCTCTTCATGAATATTGTGAATTTTGTCATTTGTTACAATATTTATACAAGTTTTGTGGACACGATTGAAAAGATAGTCTTTGATAAAGCCATTAGATTTGATAGAATATGGTCCATTGATATAGGAATTATGATGATTGTATGAAGTATTGGTGCCAATGGACCTTGGCCACCATGGATTAGCAAAGAGTTGCAAAGTGGAAGAAGAAGAAGGAAGTGTGAAACAAGGCTCATATCAAGTTGAGAATAGGGATTGAGAGCAAAAGACAGGGAGAGGAGGGGGTTTTGGGTTGAAAGACAAGAGATGGAAACAAAGGATGGTAGAAGGAGGGAAGAGTTTTGAGACAAGAAAATAAGAATTGAAATAGAGAATTTGAGATTGGGACAAGAGACAAGAATGAAGAATGGAGAATGGAGAATGAAGATGGAAAATTAATCTTGACATGGCAAGGGAAGTGTGGCGTTAACAAAATGGATGTGTGGCTTTAACAACTCTTTTATTATATCACTTAATAATTTAACAATTAAATATTTTCTTGTCAGTTAATCTATAATAGATTCACAAATTGTCATGGCATCTATTCCTAAAAATTGCATAAAATAAAACTATTATTATGCAATTTTACAAAGAGTTACTTAGCTTATATTCTTACCTTTGTTCATCATTTGTGTGTCATCCATGTGTATTGATAGAGATGTATGCTAGGTAACTATACTAGATTTTGTAGGAAGCTCAATAATGGTTACAAATTCTTACATTGCTCTAAAATATTGGTTTTAGGTATTTAGGATTAAAAATTTAAGGTTTTTACAGACAAGAAAAAGATAAGATTAGTTTTAGACTGTTAAAAAGGTTTAAAATGCTATGGTATGGGGAGCCATTTGATTTTTTTTGTTTATCCAGCACAACTAGGTATCCTATTCCTCTACAGCTATTAAGATGTACCTCAAATACTTAAATTTCAATGTTGCTATTAAATTGGTACATTGTATCTTAAACCTTGGGTAACTTAGCCATGAATTCATATCTGTATGCATCACTACATTTTATTCAAACAATATTGTGTTGTGTGTAGATTTATTTATATTTATAGAAAAATTTAAAGGCAATATGACAAAGACAAGAAGCCCACCATTTAGATACAGAATCTGTGACAAAGACAAAGGAATTATCCACTACTGTCACAATGCTGTGCCATTAGGATATATCATTATGAGAGGTTGTGGATTCAACCTCAACGGCATTGTCAATGGCTGACAATACAATTAATGATCCAATGATGGAGAGAGAAGATCATCCTTGCTGTGTGTAGAATCACTGCACTATTACATATACCTTTGAAACATACGACTTGAAAGTGAGATTGGCAGAATCAATTCTACAGCTACCACCCAATATAGACTCTGTTCATGATGGTTCCATCTCTGTTGAATATTAGGGTTTCCACCACATGCTTGTCAAGGTGTTCATTTGAAGGACTAAATGCTGCTGGGAGATGAATGGTGAGGATCTGTGTCCGCGTTGTCAAATTGAAGAGTTACTCAATTGGATTCCAGCACAGTCTGAATCCAATTGTCAATAGATCCAATTTCAATATTCCAATCAATTCTCAGTCCAGTAGTCAGTGGTGATGATTGTCAATCAAAAGGGTCTTTGAGTCAACAGCAGGGTTCGAACCTGCGACGGACTTTGCCCAACGGAACTGATCTCCGTCGCCATCACCACTCGGCCATGTTGACTGCTGCCCTGTCCCCGCATGTGGGCAACTAATTATATATACACTAATATTCATATAAAATCCTTTAATCAGTCTAAACAGAGCGTTCAGAAAATATTATAATATTTAGCATCATCTTACTTTGGTCCTCCACCATTTATAGCTCTTTGCACTTTTTGTACGGTCCTTCAATTTTAAACTTTGGTTAATGAGATTCAAGTTTCTTTTGTATCAATTCATTATGCTTTAATTACATGATTCATCATTGATCATGTTGTACAATTCTGTACTTCAAAAGCTTTTTTAAAACAAGGTGGAAATGAATTTTATTGTATTATTGTCCTATCAGAAATATAATTTATGCTGCAAGAATTATCTTATCTAAGGAAACAATAGAATGGCTTAGTTTTAAGTGAGTCATTGGCATTCATTCAACATTACATTACTTCCTAGTTTTGCAAGGCTTGTGTTGTGTACAAACTTTACATTGCATATTCAATTTACAAAAAAATCATAGCAAGAGCTCCATGAATGATTGAAATGGATACATTGTTTTTATAAGCAATAGCTTTATTCCTATGTATTTTTTGGTAAAGTATACATACATACATACATACAATAAAAGTAAACTATTTGAAATATAATGATTTTCTTAAAGGTTAAATAACCCGAAATCGAAATTGAAAATCTAGAAAAATTATGCAGCTAGTAACAGATTTAAATTTTTATGAAAAGGCTATTAATTTCCCATAAGTTTTTAAGTAGGTTCAAGTTATTTGGAATGTTTCTTTGAAATTTTGATCTGTGAATCAAGAAAGTATTTATTTTTAATATACTCTGAATTTAAATGAGGAATGAATAAGGCTGTGAACTTTACATCATTAGAATGGTGTAAAAGAAGAAATATTCATGCTGCATAACATTATTGTTTCTGTGAAATCAAAGTGTTAAAAACGATTTCTTAACTCTTTTGGCTAAAATTGTTGAGCATGCATCAGGGCACCTCCTTGCTCACGCACATGAATGCTAATAGCCAATGAGCAGAAAGTTTGTAGAATTAAATTAAAAATGGGAAAAAAAAAAATAAAAGAATTTTTTTTTGATTTAAAATTCAAAATATTCATTTAAGAACTATTAATAAGTTCCGAGTTACTATCATAAATGACAATAGTATCCATGAATTATTTTAGTATTATTGACATTTAATAACCACATCAGAGTTTTTGAGAATAAGATGTGTAATTTCAAATGTATGCATAAAATTCAACAAAATTCTTGTATGTTAATTAATTAGTTACATTTTTTGTTTGAGCTATGGTTGTACAAAACGTTACATTAAATTTTGATATTGAAATAAAATCTATTTCAATGTATTTGCTGTAGATAAATTTTCATGAAATGTCTAGATTGAAGTCATTATTATCCTAATTTTTAAAAAACTTCAACGAAAGAAAATTCATTTACTGAAAAAAACTAAAAGAATATAAATATTTATAATTCCCATCATGTCTAAAAAAAATAATGCAATAGAATTTAATGTAAGAAAAAAAAAATAATTATACATTTAAATTTACTTGCAAGTTGCAAAAGTTATTTACAGAATATTTAGCATGAAACATATATATATATATATATATATATATATATATAAATACACACACACATTTATACATTCAACCAAAAAAGTAGTTAAAATATTGGAATCAAACAAAGGTAGATTCATCCCAATCATACAAAATGGATGTATTTTGTTAAATTACAAATATCAAATCAAATGAAGTATGTTATTATAACAGTTTAGCAATATCGTATAAGAAGATTATACAAAATTCACATTTCATCTTTGTTAACTTAAATTGAGTCCATTTACATAATTTTTGGTTTTACATTATGTTTAAAAGTATATTTTGATCATTGAAAAAAATTGGAATTAAATTAATTTATTAATTTATTTTAATTATTTGGAATTGTAAGTTCAAAATTTAAGACTTTAAGCATGAACTTAAATTAAAATTACTTGTTAAAATCTAAAAATACAGAATACATTATAAAAGGTTTTAAAATCTAAAGACATACGAAACAAACCGTACAGAGAAACGAACCGTTAATACAAAAATCAAACTAAATTTTATTCGAATTGAAGGATAGGCAAGTAAATAACAAGCTATTCCTATTTGCGCCTCAAATGCAGACGCCCGTGTTGAAGGGTCCTCAGATGTTCTCCCAAATCCCTCCCGAGCTGATGTGTGTCCCACGTGGAAAGCATTTCCAGTAAGAACGTCTGACGTGGAGAGCAATCGGGACCCTTCTCATTGCTGACGTGTAGCTGCATAAGCCACGTGCATTTCCAGCGACGCACACTCCCAGGTGAGCAGTGCTCGTGGTTGTAAAGTTGCATTCGATGGCATCTATGGCCGTGCAGTTGTCACTTCCCCTGCGTTGCAATCTCTGTGTCGATGCCAGCTTCGATCGATTGCGACTCTTTGTCATGAATTCACACGTCTCCCTTCCGAGTTCATCCTCCGTTTCTTTTCAATTCTTATATTTTTTTGGAGCTCCTGATCGTGATTATTCCAGTGCGATTTGGTCTTGTGAAGTGTGAGAATTTGTTTTGCGAGTGTCGGTTGATTGTTTTCTTGAAAGTGGCGCGAGCGGCGACGTCACCACCTTGTGAAAGCGCTCTACTGATCTGTGCCAGTGGAAGTGAGTAAAGAAGTCCTTCATGCATTTTTTCCTTTTTTCTTGTTGCTTTTCCAGAGAAGATTTTCGAACTATCTGAAGAGTGATCCTTGTGGTAGATCGATTGTCGAGGCTAACAGTTTTTTCCCTTGCACGTTCGCGGCGCCAGGTTTAAGAGTGCTTTATTTGAGTGTGAATTTTCATTGAAAACTTCACTGGTAGCAGACCTCCGGGTGATCTTTTTATGATTTGAGTTGTGTGAGAGAGACTTTGTTGTCGTCTCTGCGAAGAGAGTTCGAATCACTGATTCTTACTTGCTTTTCCTAGCTTGAATAGAGTAACTCAGCCTTCCATGGCATGGCGCAGCAGCCGGGCTCTCTTCTGGCGAGAATCCATACCGAGAACCTTGACAAGAGCCCCACTCTTCACCAGAGCTGTAACAACATACGACACACCTGCGACTACGCACGACACATTTGACGACGTGCTACAGACGAAGGATGGCGAGACTCTCTTTGCAGGATTGAAAACTGCCGAACTTGTAAGGACACTTTTTAATCTACATCTGGTTGCATATGAGCCGGTGGTGGACTTGAGCCTTAAGGTCCTCACGTCTCCTTTGATGAAATATAGCCTGTTCCAAGTACCTGTAAACCAGGTAGTTAAGGGCACTGCTTACTCTCATTTTTGTGCTGGAGAGGATGTTGAAGAAGCCTCCAAGACCTTACAAAGAATGTGGGAGCTAGGGCTACGCGGCATTTTGGACTATAGTTCTGAAGACGCAACAGACAATGAGTCTTGTGATAAAAACCTTCAGAAATTTGTGCACGTTGTCCGTCAGTCTAGTCGTCTTCCTCAAGGATCAGTAAGTACAGACTGATCAAGCTTCTCCAGAAATCAGTAGTTTTTTTTTTTTTTCTCCTGCATTCCTGCTATTTCAAGGACGCCTTACTCTTTTCAAATGTATTTTTTCGTAGGATGTGTCTTTGAGTTAGTCTTGGTCCATCATGTCATCATTCACGCATCTGCTTAAAATTGCGATGGTTTCTGGCATTAACTTTCACCATTTTGCAGGTGAGCACCTCATGCGTGAAGATCTCTGCCATTTGCCCTATCCAACTCCTTGAGCGAGTCAGCGATCTATTTCGATGGCAGCATGTACATAAGGAATTCAAACTGCCATGGAAGCAGGACGTGATACCCTTTCTGGCCGAGGAAAGCCCCACACATCACGTCACTTCGCCTCCAGAACCTCTCACGAAAGAAGAAGAAATAGACTTGACACTTGCTCATAAGCGTCTGAAAGATCTTTGCGAGGCGTGTGAACAGGAAGGTTTACCTCTGCTGATAGACGCTGAATACTCGTCAGTTCAGCCTGCCATTGATTACATCATTCATGCTGCTGCGGCTGAATTCAACAAGGGCGATCGGCCTCTAATTTACGGAACTATGCAAGCATATCTGAAGGATTCATTTTCGCGACTTAGCCTTGCAGTGCGGGGTTCTCATGAGCGGGGACTTTCCTATGGTGTGAAACTTGTACGCGGAGCTTATTTATCTCGAGAAAATGAAATGGCATCATTTTTGCGGGTTCCTTCTCCAATTCATCCAAATATTGAAAGTACACACCGTTGCTACAATTCTTGTGCTGCATTCATGCTGGAGCAAGCAGCTACTGGAGATGGGGCAGTGATGCTTGCTACTCACAACATGGATTCCGGTATGATGATTGCATTTTATTGTCGGAAATTCGCTTTCGGTTAATGATGGGTGTAACAACCAATAAGACAGAACATTCTCGAATTCTGTAATTTTTTTGTAACTTATCCAGTGGAGTTCCAGTTCCTACAGCACTAGAGGTCTTTCAGGTTTTATCATCATGCCTCTTTTCGCAGCTTATCGATGTTATTGACTACTGAGGAACTTGATACACTACTAACTGTTAAGCTCTATGATTGGTGGCTTGCAGGCCGTATAGCAGCAGCCAAAGCTCTGGAGTTAGGATTGTCGAGAGACGATCCTCGAGTGCAATTTGCCCAGCTAAAGGGCATGGCTGATTTGCTATCTTTGGCATTAGCACAAGCAGGCTTCAGAGTAGTAAAATATCTTCCTTTTGGTCCTGTTTCCGAAGTAATTCCCTACCTTGTCAGACGCGCGGAAGAGAATCGTGGTCTTCTTGGCAATACTATCCATGAACGCCAGGCAATCAGGTAACAAGCTTTCCTTCACATGCTATATGACATGGTGCTCGCAAAACTCTGGTAGGTTGGGATGATTTCGTATACTTTAAGGTTGAAGTATAGGAAATCATCAAGAATGAACAAAGGGTGCATCATTCTGTCTATTATGTTACGTGCGTCTTCAATGCTGAATGTAACATCTTTTAAAGGAAGCAGAGTCCTTGAAGGAACTCAAAAGTTAAATAGTAGGTGCATCCAAGATTGAATCATGTTTCTCATGCTATCTCCGGTTGTCATGGGGATGCTTAGGACGGAGCTTCGAAGACGATTGCTGCAGTTTTAGAACCTGCTAGGACATCCGAATTCAGTCCAGAACTCCAAACAAATTGACTCAGAACCTGGAGTTTCACTCAACACATTTCCCACAACCTTCATTGTCGAGGTTGCTTATTTTTCACATTCTTTCTGAATGTGCGTACAAAGGTTTATCTGCGCCTTGCGCAAGAGTCGAGTAGACAATTCTTCCCTCTTAGACTCTTACATGTACGAAAATCAAACAAAAAAAGACACATTTGTAGCCCTTTCTTACTGGTCAATCCTACAGGACATGTATAGTTTACTCTAAGAAACGGCAGATCCTTCGGCAAAACAGTCTGACATCTCCCACCAAAATTCATTGTTGATACTCGTATTCAGCAGTTAGTTGGATGAAAAAAATCGTTGAACTCATCTCATATTGGAACATTGTTTTATGATATATGTGGAAAGTCAACTACTTCAGATTTTATCATGATTACTAAATGTTGAAATTCCTGGATCAACACCTCACAACTAGTGAATGCAGTGGTTTTGCTACACAAGTAGCCTTTTGAGCCTACTCAGCTGCTTACTAAAGAAAGACTGAGACCACCTGTCAAACACATCATTCAGAGTGACATAGTAACATGTCTGCATACTTGAAATTGAATTGGTTCACTTAATAGGTCTCATGTTGGTTGTTAACTGTGCCTAGAGGTTCATGCAAGCTGCAGCTATCATGAGTTTAGGATGTCAAGCTTTCAATGCATCAGCCATGTAACCACCCTGCATGCATCCAAGGGGTGGTGGTTCAGTAACATTGTAAATCCTTAGCATTCCCTATCAACAAGTAATCTCCCAACCCACAAAAGTTTTACAGCCCTTCTCACATTTGCAATGGCAGGCATTGTTAGCATTGAAGAGTAAAGTGTTAGTACACTTTAGTCTTCATGCATGTGTGTGTGTGCACACACACAAAAATTCATTTTTAGGTTTTCTGAACTAATGAACTTAGCTAGCAAAATTAGATGCAACAAAAACAAAACCATAAATCATACTTCCATGATAATTGAAGTTTATTACACACAAGCATGCATATACAAGAAAAATTAAAATGAAGTTAGGTTCAAAACTTAGTTTTGCTCACACTAGCTTAAACAAATTTAGAAATCTGTCTACTTGCTTTTAGTGGCTATCACAACTCTAATGTACTTGTGCATGCTTCTATACAAATTCTTACACTCATTAAGAGTAATTGAAGCCCAACAATTCTCAATATGCTCCCATTATTCTAGCATTTTTTTGGAAGGTCTTTCATATTGGTTCAATCAACATTTTAAAGTTTTCCATAAATTTTGATTAGATTCAAGTCTAGAGATTGTATCAACCACTTCAAAAGAATAAATTCTTGTGAATTGAGCCAACAACACACACTCTTGGATATATGCTTGGAATCATTATCCTATTGAAAAATCAAACTAGTAGGATTTAAATTGTATGCATGTACTATATGAATTAATTCTTATTCTAAAATCTCTTTCTACATGTATTTATCTATTCTTCCCTTAGTCCTATACATCATAATAGAGCCATTTGAAATCATGCAACTTCACATTATTACTCCTCCACCTCCAAACTTGATTGTTTTTTGCACCATTCTAGCACTTGTACTTTGCCCATTACAAAACCAATACCAATTGCAACCATCAAGAAAAAGTAGTTGACTTTTATTTCATGAAAGAATATTATACAATCCCAATCATCATCAATTTAATATCAATGAAGTTTAGGAAATTCTAATCTTACTTTAATTTGACAAAGTATAAGCTTTGGTTTCTTTTGCTTCTCTTTGTATTTCAAACCTGCTTCATGTGTTATTCATACTAACATGAAGCTTCTCACTTAAGTAATTTCCAACTTTATTTGTACTTTCTTTGCTACTTCTAGTGATTTCTCTTAGACAAGCATTTTAATTAGTTGCATTGTATATCCTTGGCGTGCCACCAAAACTATGATTCATATCATTCAAATCAATCAAATGTTAGTTAGAAAATTGTGAAATCCAACTTTGAGACATATATAAGTTCCTAGCAACATTTCTAGTATTCTCACTCTTCCTCAATTTCTGCAAAGCTACTACTTCTATTAGCTTTCTATTAGCAATAAAGAGATATCTTAATGAAATCATTTTGATTAATTTGCAAAGATAATGTACATTAATGATGGACACAATTATATTTATGAAGGCCAAAAATGTGCCATGCTTTCAATCACATTCAAAAAATCACTTCCACATGTTTAATTTATAATTTAGATTGCATCATGTCATTGAAATCCAAAAATGAGTATAACTGAATTTTAGAAATAATTCATTTTGATCCATATCTTTTTCAATTTATCTTATATTATTAGACTTTTAATTTGATAGCCACATCAATTATTTATAATAAAACTTAAATTATCAATTGATTTAACTATTGTTATAATAAAGTATAAAATATGAATGATTAATAGTAGAGTTATTAATTTCATACTTAATTTGGACCTAACTTCATTAAAAATAAAGTTAAGTAAACTTAATGATCTTTAACTTTTCAAAAGCCTTAAAATTTGTCTATCTTTTAAAAATTTCTTTCAATGAAAGAAAATTTATAAAATGAAAGGCAACCAAGAATTTTATACTACATAAGTTGGTTGTCAACTGATTTAAGTTTGTACAATTCTTGAAGTGTGGATTTATCAATAGTATTAACTTAAATGAATTATTTTAAAAATATTCAACAAAGTTATAATTGTCAAGATGAAGTACACACATTTGGTTTAAACTTTTGTGTTTGGCAACATTCCAAACCTATCAATATTATCTTTTTTAAATTTTAACTTTATAATCTTTATTTGAAAGTACATACTCAAATATTAAAGTTTGAGAGTTTGTTCTACAAAAGTTGACATAAGCTTAAAATCCTCATATATGTGAAAAATCAGCAAATAAAGATGTATATATTTTATAGTATCTACTTTCAAAATTTCTTAATATTATGATTTTTTTATTTTAGTTTATTTTATAAAACATAGGCCTTGGATTAATTCTAAACCTTATAGATACAAATATAAATATAGTATGAAGTCATTTATTTTTAATATATAAATTATTAACATAAAATATTATGTATGAAAAAAGTATAAGATTAGAAAAGTGAATAATGTAATATTTATCTTTTGATTACAATCATTGAATGTAATCAAAAATAAATCTCAAGATCATCCAAAGTCTATTTCTACAAGTATATATTCTACATTATATAATTAATTGTGGATATATAATTTTCTATTATTATCCAAAATTAAGAATAATATATTCTTAAGATTATCAAAGGCTTATATAAAAAAATTGACATCATAATTTAAAATTTTTAATATTTATCTTTTAAATATTTATTCAAGTTAAGAGTTAGTTTAAAAAATAAGAATTTTATTTTTTATTTTTTATTTTTTTTTATCAATTTCAAGATTATCAAAAATAATCTTATACATCTTTCAAATTCTTTCATCTCTACTTCCATCATATCTTGCTTGCAATAATCTATATAAAGTGTGCTTTTATACTCTTAATTGTTAATTTTAATACAAATGGATGTCTATTATTGCCAAACTTAATGGAAGTCTACCACAAATAATTTATAATCTTATTGACTATATCTTTTAAATATTATAGATAAGATTTTTAATTATAAAGGCATCCATAAAAAACTATTCTATTAAAGACTTTTAAGTCTACTTTGCTATGCATTGGTATATATAGTTCAAAAGACCTCTAAGTAAAACTATTTGCAATTAATTGACTTCCATCATCATCTTTAGAATTATCAATATTTAATAGCTCATTCTATAGATTTCTACTTCTTACATCATTTAAGACAATAAAAATATTTTTTATTTTTTGAATATGTTTTAAGATGTATTATTGTCATAGACATATCTATAATTATCAAGATAATATGAATAGATAAAAATAGATAAAAATAAATTAATTTAATAATATCTTATGGAAAAGCTTTCTAGAAGCTTTATAAATGTAATTTTACCTTTTTACATGTCTAAGGTGATTGATAGGTTAGAAACTTAGCCAACAAGTTAGCCACATGTCACATGTATTGATAGCTTGTGGTACAAGCTAACAATGTAGTGCACATATTGAAAACTTGTCTTATAAATTAAGTCATGTGTCTTGGAAATTGGACACATGTTGGAGTTCCTATAAAACATTTCCACCTAGTTCTTAAGTAAATAATATATAAAGAGGCAAGAATGAAGCCTTCTTCACTCTTGTCAATATTTTTTTTCTTCTTGTCTATTTTTAATAGTCTCTAGTTTATTAGCCTTTGGCAATAGCCATTCTAATTTTTTAATAAATATATTTATTTTCTTATTTTTAGGCTGTCATCTCTTGTTTATTCATTTCTTAAAAAAATTATATTCTATACAAAAGATATACTTGAGATTTCTTATGCAAATCTTTTAACTTATTCTTTAATATAAGTATTTATTTTTAAGCCTTTAAATTATTTACAAAGTATATTATTTCAAATATGGCTATTTAGAGCAATACTTAATATTGACTTGATGATTCCATCCATCCTAATAATCTAAAATTATAAACATTAAATAATTTTCTTTTCAATTAAAGTAGTTTTTTGTAATTACCAATCAATTTTAAATATTTGGTAGTTTTTTTATTAACCTAAAAAATTAAAAAGCTCCAAAATTTGAATACAAAAATAATTTATATAAAAATAATATCTTTAAATTTATAAAGATATTTATATATTTTTTTTCTATATTATGGCATCTACTACAATTGTACCATAATTTTTTTAAAAATTCTTGTTTTATTAAAAATATCATTTGATAAACTAAAGTTTTTTTGTCAACAACCAATAGAATAGTAGAGTCAAGTTTTCTAATTTGAAATAAAAATCACAAGCATTAAATAAAGATGGTAAGATATTACCAATATATATATATATATATATATATTACTATATACCACTAAAATTATCTTTGATGTTTTTTTAGAAATATTTTTAATCTAAAATAATACCATTTTATTGTATATATTCTTCATTTGTAAGGCTATTATCTTCTAAATGACTTTGACGCATTGTCTTCTTCAAAATTTTCAATCTTATGTAAATCTCAAGAAATGTATGCTTCTTCAATGGATCTATAAAGTGATAATTCTTTATCACGAATTTCAATTCTCTTAGATAAGTATTTTGAAAATTAGATCGTTTTTACTCTCTATACTTTGTTAATAAGTGTAAAGAAAGCATTTACTACTAAAAGTTTTTATCCTTAAAATAATTTCATTATACATCATATTAAGACTAAATACATCAGCTTTTAAAGCATCTATCTCTAGCAAGGATTTTTCATCCATATTCTTATTCCTAACCTCATGTACCATATCTCCAATACTACCTACATTAACTCATG